AGTGATTGGAGATCCTCGTGTCTTAAGGACGTGGAAGGCAATGGGACAGCTGGCTGGCTGCCAACAAAAATGTACACACCTGCACATGGGCTTTTATGGTGCGTGAGCTACTTACACACCCCTTGGCATTGAATGTTCCAGGGGCTGGGATGGACAAAAGCTGCCAACTGACTAGCCCAAAGTCTGAAAATATCCCTCTACAGAATTCTTCATGAATTGATGACATCTGGCAATCTTGATTTGCCGCTTCCCAATTTGATCGTTCAAGTTCATTGCTTGGATCCTCCTCCTCCCTTTCAAGAATAGAAAGAGCGAGATCCAGAATCTCAATTTCCAAACTAAGGCTTTCTTTAACATCCCCCTCTTCTTGACAAAGTGTTCGTAACAACTAAGGGGCAACATATTAAGAAAACAAGCCGACTTGAGAAAGTGCCAAAACCTTTGAGAGCCGGTAGAGGTGGCCAAAAGAATCATATGAAGGTTATAAGTTTTAACTAGCGTAAGGACACCAGTGTAGAAGAAGGATGAGCGCTGTAGCGGAAGGATTTGCAAGTGAATGGTGGGAGTTCCGAAAATCAATTAAAATTATACAATCATAGAATCATAGGCAACAAATAGTGGTACATGCATGGGTGATGGTGGTAGGTAGTGGTGGTATTAGCCATGAAACATTGATGTCGATGGCCCCATTTGCCCCAGCTGGTGAACTTACTTCGAGCCTCTGGCCGTGTTCAACACAAAGAGCCCTTTGAGTACAAGAATGAACAACTGGATATGAGAAACTCACAACAAAGCAGCTTCCAATTCTCTCCCAAATATGAGAAACATTAGTTTCAGCCTCAAGGTTATATAAGTTATTTTGAAGTTTCTTGCGGGTTGATTTCTCTAAAGGCTAAGCAAGAAAGAGTCTTTTGCTTTTGGGATTGAAGTGCAGATTGCGCCTATCTGGAAATCAACCAGCAGTGTTCTTTCGGACGCGCGAAAGCCCACAAAGCAACAAAACAAATGCATCTCAACATTCATGTTGCACACATCTCAAGTCCCCAAGTCTTCCTAGGTCGGGCCATCGCTACCAGGGTGGAGGCCATTGCTACAAGGGTGGAGCACTGTTCTAATTAATGCTTCCGGAGTCTACCGATCTGCACTGATCTGTGCCAAGTTTCAGGTCGGCCACGGCAAGTTGTAAAGCATATGGGGAATGCAAAGGGTCCGTCGACGTGAACATATGCCTCAGCTCTTAGCTCATTGATTTCACCACGTTGGCAAAGCAAGAGTAGCGTTCTTGCTCCTAGTAGCGAGCACAAACCTTTCCGAGGTTTTTTCATCAGAAAAGCAAGTCTGCCATGTAAGCGCAACCTCGGCACACAAAGTGCTGGTTGGTCCTTGTGCATAGGTGCATTGGGCAGCAAAGAGTTGTTTTTGAATAAGAGTAGTGCAACACATCCCCAAGGCTCACACTACGAGCTCCCCACCGAAGAGAACAGTTTGGCTGAACGTGCCGCGACTAAACTCAAGACAAACGTGCCCGTTTTGAATGGTGCTATAGTGTCCTGCTCAATTCTTGCTGGAGACAAATCGTTGCATGCATGTTTGCAATCAGCCCCCACTTCTCTCTCTCTCTCTCTCTCCCTCTCTAAACATCAGGCATAGAACAACTGGAAGGGTTGCTTTTGGATACTGGAGGTCTGAAGCGCAGTTTGCTACCATCGACCGTAGGCCATCGACTGTACGGTCCTGGAGACATGCTCAATGTCCCGCTGAAAATAGATCACGGCCTGATCAGGAAATCGGCATTGAGCCGATCTGAATTTCCCGCATTTCCTTTGCCTACTCTGAGACTCTTGGCAGTATTACTTGGAATAGCCTGTCAAAGTGCAGCGAGGACATTCTAGTCTCTGAGCCAGGGCCGTCTGGCTCACAGGTTTGCGATTTAGTGGCCATGGCGGCCATTCCGGTCAACACAACAGTCCACTAGTCAATAGCCGCCACTAGCTGTCACTAGACGGTCTTCGCTCAACCACACGCCTAGTGACAGGTGGCTTGTGTTTTGAACGGCACCTGGCCAGTGACGACAATGCTCAGGATCAAATGCACCACAAATTTGCAGGGAAATCCTTAGCGTTGCCGGTCTCCACTGACGCTGGGCTTTCCACTGACGCAGACCCGTTCATGGCCAAAATGGACAGGCGCAGTGGGAACATGTGAGAAAATGGACAGATGCACTGTACAAAAGGTGAAATCACTGGTGAAATCCTTTTCCTTAGACTTTCTTGAGCTAGCCCTTGAGGTACAGTGATGTCGCTCTCTATGCCACAATGGAGGGTCTGCAACAGTATAACAAATAACCCATCATGGTTGGAATGTCATGCTGCATAACACGTTGCCGCCCCCTACATCCCAAAAAGATCTCACGCTCCAAGGGTCTTCCATAAAGGACCCACTTCTCGAAAGGATTCAAGAAGAGGGTCTCAACCTGGGCAGGTTAAGATACGTGCTTCTTGAAGAACCGTGAGCTATCCTGCGTCCTAAGTAGTAGCTACTTAAGCTACTTGCTACCTAGCTACTAGTATATAGATACCTTCCCTACCTATCCAAGCTACCTCACCTCCACTAACTTCCGAAGCCGGGTGTATCCGGGTGTCACGGCCTCGAATTCTGTGCATCGAACAGTTCTGTCTACGTGTCGAAAGCTATGCAGAAGAAAACACCCGTTTTGGGGCCAAGCTGCCGCGCCCAGTAACGATTAAAAAGACCCGAGACTCAATGCTGAAGTAAAGGCATCGCCGAGGTGGGCAATCGAAAAGACAGACTATAACATAGAAACAAAACAAAAGGCTACTAGTGACAAGAAGCTATTAGGTTGGAGGCCATCGCTCTTAGTAACAAGTGCATCACTACGACTACTAGTAGCGATGGCCTCCTACCTAGTAGCTTCTTGTCACTAGTAGCTACTTGCTCCTAGTAGTAAGG